ACCAAGAGTCCCTTTATTACCTCACGTTCACTGATAACTACTGCAAAGCTGTTTTGGTCAATGTCACCGTATGATCACACATTTCAATAAATATCGTGTGAGACTGAGTTGCTTTGGATGCCATCATGAGTACTAGAAAGCGATATTTAGGGGAAGGGTTAGGTAACATGAACTGAAAGACATCTTTCCGTACGCTCAGTTTATTTTCTTCCATAAACATATATAAGATGGTGTACTTATTTTGATGTGGCTGTGGTCAATATCTCCTAATCTCTACCCTTTGCTTGCACTATCTCCTTCGTTATTGTGTTTATAAGCAAAATGTCAGCTGCATAATAGATTCTCCAAACGACGCTTCACCAGTTGAATGACATTCTCTCCCTTCTAAGGTGACTTTATGTAAACCTTCCTTTTAGGAACAGTCTTTGAAATTCTGAAACAGTGCACAGGATTTGTAGCTCAGGTAGATGATTTTGCAATTAGTTGTGTTCTCTGAGCTGGTTGGTTTTAAATTGCCAATCCAATTTTTAGAGAAAATCAAAAGCATTCAAGTGGATGACAATGAAATGATGGTGTTCTTTGGTGTCGCAGCATTATATACTTTAATTAGTACGAAACTAGCAACAGAAACTATGCAACAGTTACCCTATGGTGATGAAAACATAAAAACGCAATGTTCAACTTGGATAGAACTCATAAAGTTGTGTCTTGCACCATACTTCAAATTCAATACTCAAATATACTAACAGATAAAAGGAACATCAATGAGATCACCCATATCAGGATTAATGACTGAAGCCGTCATACAAAGATTAGAATTAAAAACCCTCCATACCTATAATTAAACCAAAAGTCTGGGTACCTTACGCTGATGATGCATTTGTAATAATTGAAAGAAATGATTTGTAATATACCGAAAAATTAATAAACAACATATCTGAAGACATCAAATTCACAAGGGAAGAAGAACTAGATAACGAAATCCCATTTTTAGATGTCTTAATCAGAAGAATTAACATATGGAATTTAGAAACACAAGTATATAGAAAATCGACGCACACAGATGAAATACTCAACTTTGGTAACAATAACCCAATTACCAACAAAAAACTGTGTTTAAAAGAATTCAAATACACTATAGCACTCCAGAGTTGAAGAGAATGGAGGAAAAATACCTATTAACCGTTTTTTCAAAAGGAATGGATATCCTCACAATTTCATCAAAAAGTGTTTAAACTTGAGTCACAACACCAGCTAGAAACCATCATCCTATCATATATAAAACTTATCTCTCAAATAACAGCTAGAATATTGAAACCGTTTGAAATAGATATAGCCCACAAGCCAGTCCAATCACAGCATTCGATATTGTGCAAACCGAAAGATCCAACAGAAAAAGAGGATAAAATTAATATCATTTACAAAATAAATTGTATGGACTGTAGAAGACATTACATTTCCCAAAGTGGGTGTCCCGTTGGAATCAGAATCCAGAAACACAAATTGGCTGTAAAAAGAAATGATACATATATATTCTTTTATTTCAATGCATGTAGATAATTATGGGACACCAACGTGATTGGGATAATGTCGAAATATTGAATAGAGGAAACACCAAAAGTGCCAGAGAATTTCTAGAAGCCTGGTTGGTACTCAGACCAATATGTGATTAACAAATATGTTAATATAGACCAAATTTACCAACTATTCAGAAGTAAATCATGTGACGAGAAAGTTCAAAATCCAAGTCAATACAAATGACCAATACAGATGTAAAGATGGTTACCATGAGACACAATTCTATCACTCATGGAGAATTTAAATCAGTTCATTTTGTGCTAAAACTTGCGATTAAGGGAGTTGTTGTCCAGAAGTACGACGAAATCTCTGCCACTAAACCAATGAGCTCAGAGAACACAAGTACTTGCAAAAGTCTTTGACATTACTTTTACTTTTGAACACTTATTTACAAACCTTACTGAATATGTCATTTTCTCACCACTGTCTCCCTAAAGAATTTCTCCTCGTAGTCAAGTCAAGTCTGCTACTTGAACAACATATCCTACATACTCTCCTGAATAATGTACTGCGCTGGTTGGAATAAAGTTGATGAAGTGTAGATATTGTCCCTTTCAAGATGGCTTCCTACAAAATGGACATCTGAACAGTTCCATCAGCTCCCTTAAACAGATTTATATCCAAGAAATGTATAGCATCATGGCCCTAATTGTTCCGACGTAAATTTTATACTAGCACACAGCATTAATTAAATTCTTCTGACATTGTTTCGGCTTCAAATTTATCTCTGCATACTCCAAATATATCATCTATATACAGCAGGCATTTGCCAGATTTTCCTTTACAGTCCCTCAAGGCACTAGATATAAACTAGAGATTCGTGTATTCGCTTGAAAATAACTTTTGGAATGATTGTAAACAGCCTGAATTGATGAAGTGAGTACTCGTGATAGAATGAATTATTCAACGCTAACTAAAACATTATCCGAATGGATAACCCACTCTAACTATCATTCTTACAATTAAAGCGCTTCTGTGAACCAGTTAAAGCCATAAAGTACTGGAAAGCGTTTGTGCGTCTGTGGCACAGCTGTACAATGCTTGCCAACCACGCGACACGGAATCCGGCGTTCGATCTCCGGTCAACGTACTCCTCTACTTCGCTAAGTCACTAATAAGACTGGTAAAGAAGGAAGGTTGGGCATGAGGCTAGCGACCCCATCCTGTAAAAATAATCACCACTGCTACCTAAACTTCAAGCCTCTAGCCTGAAGTCCTATGTTCCACAGGGAACGTAAAGGAATAATAAATAATAATAATTTCATCATAGTTTAAGAATCCTTCGGACTTTCTCTCTTTCTCCCAGTGTCTGAATAATTGAAAGGCTGTCCTTGTAAAATGAAAGACCCTAAGTAGAGTCATTGATGAACGGTACTTTTTTTTAACCTTCACGTTCCCCAGTGGAACATAGGGCTTCAAGCTAGTGGCCTAAAGTTTCTGTAGCAGTGTTTATTTTACAGGATCGGGTTGCTAGCCCCATGCCTAACCTTTCCTCTTCAACAGCATTATATCTGGCTTAGCGAGGTTTGGGAGTGCACCGGCCAGGGATCGAACCCCGGACCACATGCGTGGTTGGCGAGCATTCTACCGCTGTGCCACCGACGCACTCTACTATGATTTAGTATTTCTTATCTCTCAATAAAACACAAATTATATCAGTTAACTCAATAAGTAATTCAAGTGCAAAATTAACATCATAAGTTCCATGTTAGATAAGTTTGATAATAACACACAATGATAGGGTGTTAATAGCTGGATGATGTTTCGAGCACAGTTTACTGCTCA